AATTAACAAATGGGATCTAATTAAACCAAAGAGCTTCTGCACAGCAAAAGAAACTATCATCAAAGTGGACAGGCAACCTACACAATGGGAGAAAATATTTCGCAATCTATTCATTTGACAAATGGCTAATATGCAGAATCAACAAGGAGCTTAAACAAATTTACAAGAAAACAAACAAACCCATCAAAAAGTGGGTGAAGGATATAAACAGACATTTCTCAAAAGAAGACATTTGTGTGGCCAGCAAACATATGAAAAAGAAATAATCATCACTGGTTATTAGAGAAATGACAATCAAAACCACAAGGAGATGCCATTTCACACCAGTTAGAATGGCAATCATTAAAAAGTCAGGAAACAATAGGTGCTGGAGATGATGTGGAGAAATAGGAACGCTTTTGTGTAAATTAGTTCAACCATTGTGGAAGACAGTGCGGTGATTCCTCAAGGATCTAGAAACAGAAATACCGTTGGACTCAGCAATCCCATTATTGGGTGCATCTCCAAAGGAGTATAAATTATTCTACTATAAAGACTCATGAACATGTATGTTTATTGTAACACTAGTTACAATTGCAAAGACTTGGAACCAACCCAAATGCCCATCAGTGATAGAATGGATAAAGAAAATGTGGCACGTTATCTATCATGCAATACTATGCAGCCATAAAAAAGAATGAGTTCATGTCTTTGCAGGGACATGGATGAAGCTGGAAAGCACAATTCTCTGCAAACTAACACAGGAACAGAAAACCACACACTGCATGTTCTTACTCATAAGTGGGAGTTGAATGGTGAGAACACATGGATACAGGGAAAGGAACATGATACACCAGGGCCTGTCAGGGGTGAGGGACAGCTTTAGGACAAATACTTAAAGCGTGTGGGACTTGAAACCTGAATGACAGGTTGATGGGTGTGGCAAACCACCATGGCACATGTCTACCTATGTAACAAAACTGCACATTCTGCACACGTATCCCAGGACTTAAAGTATAATAAAAAATGAAATGAAATAAAATAAAATAACAACATAAAAGACACTTCTTCCCCAATCTCATATTGTCCTAATTTCTAAACAATTGCTATAATTAGTATTGATTTTAATAATACATATTTAACTTTCAAATAAGCACCTTTTCAAAAAGTACCATTTAGTAAATATTGTTGTATAAAAGAGTTAATGTGGAGTACTTCAGTTAAAGAATTGACCATTTCTATATATATTTCAATATAATTTATATTTCAATGAATTTATATTTCAGTATAAATTCATTCTAAAGGTAAATTCATAAATTTTGGTATAGAGTGCATTTAAGTACAATTTTGTATACAACTCCTAAATGCTATATATTCCTGCATTTAAACTGTAATTCAAAACAATAGATGTTAACACTGTGATTGTAAAGATGAAGAAACAGAACTCGAGTTTTGCAACTTTGTCATTTGGTATGACTTCATGGAGTTATTTTGTTTAGATTTTAAACAACAAAACAGTGAACTTGTGAGGTGTAATATTCATTTTGGGAATGTAGAAATTTTAGTTCATATGTGACACTTTCATATAGCCTTGAAAAATATTGTCTTAAGAAACAAAATCATGCTTTTGCAGTAACATAAATGCAGCTGGAGCCACCGTCCTAAGTGAATTATCACAGAAACAGAAAACCAAATACTGCATGTTCTCACTTATAAGAGGGAGCTAAACATTGGGTACACATGGACACAAATATGGGAACAATAAACACCGCGGAGTCCAAAGGCAGCGAGGGAGAGAGGAGAGAAGGGCTGAAAAATTGCCTATTGGGTATTCTGTTCGCTGCGTAGGCAAAAGGATCATTAGAAACCCAAACCTCAGCATCACACAATATATCTATGCAGCAAACCTGCACAAAACTAAATTAAACTAAAGTAAGATAAGTAAAATCTTTAAAAATTGGCATGTATTCCTTTTTTTTTTTTTGGGATTTCAACAGATTACTTTAATGTTAAACCTCGCAATGAAGGATACTTTCTCAAGAAAATAATGCACTTTAGTGTAATGAAAAGTTTCATACATACAAGTAATATTGAAAACAAAATTCCTAGTGACTGGTTAGCTGGTCATATGCTGCTCAAAAACTGTCTTTCAAATCTAATGGACATAGATTGCCTTATTATTTCTTTACATTATCAAAGAATATTTTGCCACAAATGAATAATGGGCAGAGACATGTATTCCTTCTTACATTGTTAGATATTTATGTTTAGGTTAAAGAACAAATGGAGAGGTATAAAATTACTTCAGTCATTCAGTTTAGTCATAGTATAAATTGTTCCTTTTGCAGACATTTTTGTTGTATTAAAATTTACTTGGTTATTAGACAGTTATTTACATAACACATTTTACATAGAATTTTAATATAAGCATCAGAGCTAAAACTGCTAGGTTAATATAAAAGTACTGAATTGTGCACTTTTGTCCTATAGGAATTTGGAGGACCTCTCAGTCATTTAGAATATTGTTCCAAATTAGAAACTGTTAAATACTTTTTTTGAATTTTATAAAGAAGTTTGGAGAAAAACAACCCACACTTACATGAAAGAGCAAAAACCCGGTGGAGCTCAACAGATAATTTTTTTTAAAGCAAAAGGGGAGTCAACTGAAGCGATGTCTATAACTAGCCTGAAATAGATAATTCCTTCAGCACTGCATATAATTTATGAAAGTTTTAAATAAGTCCAAGTTGGTACATTTAAACGTGGATACTAGAAACACAGGATTCAGATGATACTGGCATAAAAGACAGCAAGAATTATCTTCTACAAGCATTGACAAGAAAGAGAAAGAAATGTTCGCAAATATCACTGAGGATTTTTTTTAATGGAGAAGAAAATGGCATTAATAAAGCAGAGACACTGATGAAGAAGAGACAGTGGATGATACTTTAATCTAATTTGATATTAGTGATGATCAATGCCGTTTCCAGAGGGCAGGAGTTAATTTGATTAAGAGAGGAAGAGAACCTTTCCAGAATACATATGGACTCTTCTCTGCAGTTCAAAGACAAGGAAAAAAGAGCAAAGGAAGCACCCCACACATGAAGGCTTCATGATTTTAGAAATCCTTACCAAACAGTGAGAACACGGCAGTATTTTCAAGGTTGAAATAATTATTTTGTTTTGGCTATAGACTATAGATACTGGAACAGAAAATGAACATTCAACTTTATAAATGGCTCTAAACCTAAAAGTTAAATCCTAAGGTCTGTGAGACATCTCAACAATATCTCCCCTGCTTTTCTAACCATTGTTATTTTATTTCATGACCGTTACTGAAAATAATTTTGCCATATAAAGGAGAGAGTGTTAAAAAGGATTTTCTCCAGGTGTCAAATATGCGAGGTATACCATTATTAGATAAAATAATAACATCAATAACTTTTCTGACGTGATCATTTTTATGATAGAGAAATATCTGACTTATGTAAATAACTATCTAATAACTAAGTGAATTTTAATACAACAAAAATGTCTTCAAAGGGATAAATTTATACTATGACTAAACTGTATGACTGAAGTAATTTTATTCCTCTCCATTTGTTCTTTAACCTAAAAATAAATATCTAACAGTGTAAAAAGGAATACATTTCAATTTTTAAATATTTTACTTATCTTTAGTTTCTGATTTCCACATCCTTGTTAACACTTGTTATTTTATGGGTTTTTTTTTTCTTAAAATTTTTTGGATAATAACCATCCTAATGAATAAGAGGTGGTATTTTATTGAAGTTTTGATTTGCATTTCCCTAATTTGTATATACTATTTAGAGAAATGTCTACTCAAAGCTTTTGTCCTTTTTGAAAAATTGGGTTATATATATGTTTTGGCTTGGGTTGTAATAGGTCTTTATATATTCTGGATATTAACCTCTTATCAGATATATGATTTGCAAATATTTTTTCCAATTTTGTAGGTTGCCTTTTCACTCTATTAATTGTGTCCTTGATGCACAGAGTTTTAAATTTTGATTGAGTCTAACTTGTCTATTTTTACTTTTGTTACCTGTGTCTTTGGTGTCATATGTAAGAAATTGAGAAATCCAATATCATACAGCTTTCCCCTATTTTTCTTCAAAGGGTTTTATAATTCTAACTCTTGTGTGTAAGTCATCAATCCACTTTGAGTTATTTTCTTGTATAAAGTAAAGGTCCAGCTTCATAATCTCGCACATAGATGTCCAGTTTTTCCAACAACATTTTTTTGAAGAGACTGTCCTTTACCCATTAAATGGTCTTTACATTTTTGTTAAGAAACATTTGATCATATATGCAAGAATTTATTTTTGGTCTCTCTATTCCATTGGTCTATATGTCTATTTCTTTGTTAATACCATACTGTTTTGGTTACTGTAGCTTTGTAGTAAGTTTTGAAATCAGGAATTATAAGACTCCTAACTTTGTTCTTTTTTTGATTGTTTTAGCTCTCCAGGATCTCTTGAGATGTGAAATAAATTTTAGAATGATTCTTCCATTTCTGCAGAAATGTTGGATTTTGGTAGGGATTGTATTAGATCTGTTGATCACTTTGAATAGTACTACTATCTTGACAATATGAAGTCTTTCAATTCATTAACACAGATGTCTTTTCATTTATTTGTGTCTTCTCTAATTTCTTTCAGCAGCATTTGTAGTTATCACTGTATAGTCTTTAGTCTCCTTGGTTAGGTTTATTCTAAAATATTTTATTCTTTTTGATGCTAATATAAATGTTTTGGTGTAGGTTTAACTTGTGGGCCTTCAATTATTATATATTTAATATAAAGTTTCTGATAAGATTTTTTGCTCATTTTTGCATTGAGTTTTTGTACTTCCTCTTCCCCTTAATCAATTTTTACTGTTACCAAATAATGATTTTATAATCCCTATATTCTTTCTACATTTATTAGTTGACATTTGACTATAAATAAGAGCTTTTTCCTTACTATTATTATTTAACAGAATGCTTAAAATTGTCATAGGCTTGTGCAGTAGAAGCCGCTTCATGCTCTCTCTTGTGTCCTCTGAAATGATCATCATTCTTCAAGTGCTACCATACTTTCTGAAATGGTAAGATATTTCAAGCTCGTTTTTAACTTCTACAACCCAAGCCTGGAATAAACCATTTCTCCAAGGATCTCTGGTTCATTTTTAGCGGAAAAAGTATTTTGTAACAAATATGTACTACTGCTTGTAGGCCCTGTCAGCAGACAGATCTAAGAAATAAGAATATGTATATATAAATATATGTGTGTCTATACATAAACACACCACTGAACATAACTGTATCAATATCTGTGTTTGTATCTGTACCTTTACCTGCATTAAACTGTGAGTTTATAGTGAAAGATTTAGTTCTAATTCAGCACCAACAGTTTCATTACGTATTTTCCTTTGATGCATAACTTCTTCAACTGTGAAAAATATGCTTCTTATTATCTATGACATATTTAATTTTTGCTCAAGCTAGGATATCCACAAAGCAGTTTCAGAGTTGCTAAACCATATAGATGCAAGAAGCATGCCTAAGAGTCTAATATTTGTCTACAGTATTTTTCTGTAGCCTATAAAATTGTACTCGGAGTGTTTCCTTTTAAAAAATTCTCCCCCTTTTTCCCTCTTCATCTGGTTAAAGAAAGAAAATAAATTTTTTTTCAGTGTAGTTATGTTTTTTATTTAAAGATAGTTTTTAAATTTAACTAAAAATTTTAAAAATTGTTTTTAAATTTTTTGGTGAGTTTTTCGTTTATTTTCACACTGGAATTTTTCAAACACAGTTCTAGATCCCCTAATAGATTTTTTTAAATTGTGGCATATAGCTAATTGTGGTGGTTAAAAGGAAATTGATAGATTTACCTGCTTATATTAGAAGAAAAGAACTCCTGAAAATTAATGTTCTATGCATATAATTTAAGAATTAAGAAAAAGGATAAACAGAATGAGCCCACAACGTAGAAAGAAAGAAAGAAAGAAAGAATCTTAAGATAAAGAAAAAAAGAAAGAAGGAATAAACACCAGACTTTGAAAGAGTATAATCTAACTACAGTTGTAGTAGAGATGAAAAGATATTTTAAAAAATACAAATAACTTTAGGCCATACATTTGAAAACATAGATAAAGTATTTAACTCTTAGAAAAAATATAAATTCCTGTATTTGAGAAGAAATAGAAAACCTGAATTGTTTTATAACCAATGAAGAAATTAAATTGCAGTTTTAAAAACATCCTAGAAAAAAAATAACAAGCCCCAAATGTTTGCAGGTAACTCTTACAGAATAGTCACGTATTAGAAAACATTAATACTACAAATGTCTTGCGGATTAACGGAACAAAATGGACAATTATGGCGGAGTAAACATTTGATATCAAAACCAGAAAAGAACAATTTAAAAAAATGAGAAAGAAGTATTACAGGCCGCAATCATTCATAATTATATATGCCGAAACTCTAAACAAAATATTAACAACTAAAGTTAGTAGTGCATGGAAAGTAATACACTATGATAGAATGTAAATATTGAGGAATTCAGGTTAGTTCAGCATTGGAAAAAAAAAATCTATTGATGTAATCTATCTTAACGTAAGCAAGAAAAATTACATGATTCATTTCAATAGATGCTGGGGAAAAATACATTGACAATACCCAGCATCTACTCATGATTAGAACTTTCATTAAACCAAGAATTAAAAAGAATATTCTTAATATAATAAAGAATATTTGTAAAAAAAACTTTAATATTATATTCAGTAGCACATTTTTATTTGTACACACTTATGGGGTACATGTGAAATTTTGTTACATGTATGTGATACATGGTGACCAGGACAGGGTATGTAGAGTGTCCATCACCTGAGTAGAATACATTTTTGTTACGTGTAGTCACCTTACTTTGCTATCAAGCATTGAATTTATGGCTTCCGTATTATTTAGTAGTAAAATACTAAAAAAATTTCTTTAAACTGAGTCTGATATCATCAATTCTATTCAACATCATATAATCCTTGATGATCCTTGTCAGTAGAAAAAATAAGAACTATAAATGTTAGTAGGAGGAAAGATAAAACTGTATTTGTCAGGTATAAAATCAATGTAAAGTTATCTGCATTTTTATACACAAAGGTTGAGTATCTCTTATTCAAAATGCTTGAGACCAAGAAGTGCCTTGGATTTCAGATCACTTGGGATTTTTGAGTATTTGCATATTTATTCATGTATTTATATTTATATATTTACATAATGAGGAATCTTGGGGATGGGACCCGAGTCTAAACACATAATGTATGCCTTCTATACACTTTATACACACAGCCTGCAAGTAATTTTATGTAGTGTTTTAAATAATTTCATACATGAAATGAAGTTTTAACTTCATTTTGACTGAAACCTGTCACACGAGCTTGGGTGTGGAATTTTCCTCTTGTGGTGTCATGTTGGCATTCAAAAAGTTTTGGATTTGGGCACATTTTGAATGTCACAGTTTTGGATTAGCAATGTTCAACCTGTATGCCCTTTAAAACAGCAGCAGCTAATTATAAGATAATATTTTTAGATGTGTAAGTAATTTATGAAGTAAATTATATTGACAGTTCTTAAAGGATATTCAAAGAGAGGGAGATATATGCTGAATTCACAGAAGGGGAAGCCATATTATAAAGAAATTAATTCTTGCCAAATTTAATGGTGATTTTACCAAAAATCTCAAAAGTTTTTATGAAATTTAGCAAGTTGATTCTACAATTTACATGGCATAAAAAAAGGCCAAGAGTACTAGATTTTCCCTACCAGATAAAAAGACAAGTTATAAAGTTAAAGCAATTAAGGATATATGGTTTTGATATAGAGATAGACACATACACAACTAAAACTTTAAGGGAACCGAGAAACAGAACCAGGTGTGATATATGCACTTGGCGCATGAGAAATAATGATCTTTTCAAAAATGGGGTTTCGTCAATCATTTAGCCATATTAAATAAAAATAACTCTCCCTTACATTATACAGAAAAAGCGGTTTTGTGTGTGTTATAAATCTAATAAAAAATAAAACTAGAAAATATCGTAGGAGCACAAACCATAAAGGAAATAGTGATAAACTGAATTATGTAAATGTGAGAACTTTTGATAATCAAAATATAACAATAAGAGAATGAAAAGGCTTACCACAGATGGAAAGAAGATATATGCAACGTACATAACTAACAAAGGAGTTGTACCTATTTTCAATATATAATCCAGTACAGGTATCCAACATGTAAATATTTCAATAAGAAGACCTGCTGGGTAATATGCTTATTACCTGGGTACTGAAATAATCTGTACACCAAATATCCTTTGGCATACAATTTATCTATATAACAAATTGGCTCACGTACCCCTGAAACTACAGGTTAACTAAAATAAAAGTTGAGTTTGTCATAGACAGAAAAAGAAAGAAAGAAAATCAGGCAACTCGATAAAAACTGTACAAGAGACTTGAATAGATACTTCAAGGAGGAAGGTATACAAATGGGCAATAAACATATTAAAGAGTGCTCATATTTATTAATAATTATGGAATTGCAGATTTAAATAAAAAAACACTAAATATCCATCGAAATGGCTGAAGTCAAAAAGACTAACAATACCATGTGTTGGCACGAATATGGCACAACTAAAGCCCTAATCCACGTGGATGATTTTCTAATTTGGTACAACCCTTTAAGGAAATTCTGACTGTACGTACTAAAGCTGTGCATACGCGTTTTTATTCCCCAGCAGTTCTCCGAGGTATACACCCAGAATAAATGTGGTGCCTGTTTTCTAGAAGACGTGTAAAAATGTTCACACTGGTAATAATTCAAACTGGAGATAATATGTATATTCATCTACAGCAGAATGGATAAATTGTGGTTATTTATTTTATCCATCTAACAATATATTTCAGATTTCAACAAAAGTGAATGAACTACCGTTAAATGCAACAACGTGGGTGGACATCAAAACATGATACTGAAGACAGACACAGAAGATACACACCTTTTGATTGCATTTACCTGAACTTTGAAAACAGTAAAAACAAAATTATTGGGTTCTAAGTCAAAATAGTAGTTAGACCTGGTGGGGAAGGCAGGGAGTAGGAGTTGGGAGAGGCCATAACAGGAAGAGGGGAGGAACTCTGGAGTCCTGGCATCTTATGTTTTTTTCAATGGTGGTTACCCCAGTGATCGCTTTGTGACAACTAATCTGTGCATTTACATGTCATGCACTTTTCTGTATGTGAGAATACTTTGCAATAAAAAATGCTTTCAAAATATCCAGTGGAATTAGGATAAATCTGAGAGGCAAAGCTATTAAATTTTTAGAATCAATATAATAGAATTTCTTTCTGACCATAAGATAGGAAGAGTTTTAATGTAGAACACTCAAAATACCACAAAGAAAATTGTTTGATAAATATCAAAAAGTTTTACATTAAACTTTAGAACTATTTTCCACTACAAGATGTCATAAAGTAAAAAGATAAGCCATAGACCTGACAAATATATTTGTAACACATATAACTAAAAAATGATTATATAATTTATAAATAAGAAAACAGACAAACATGCCAACCTAAAAATGAACAAAAGACATGAGCAGGTAATTTACAGAAGAACACATGAATGGCTAATAATTATATCTGAAGCTATTCAGCCTCATTAATAATTAGAAAATGCAAATTAAAACTGGCTGAGTTGGCCAGAACTATAAAATATGACAATTCCAATTGCTGGTAGGGTACGGAACAACAGGAACTCATACACTGTTGAATAATAAATTGGTATAATCAGTCCAATGGACATTTTTGCATTCCCTGATCAATATTTGCATGTGCTACATGGTCAGCAATTCTACTTTTGGAGATATTCCTCAGGAAACTTCAATTGAGATCATGTACAAAAAAATCCGTGTTAGTATTGCTTATACTAGTAAAATACTGGAAATAATGTGTACGTCCATCAAGAGACGAATAAGTACTAAATTATGTTTCTCCATACAATAAGCACATTTTGCAGCCGTGAAGTTTAAAGGATGCGATGCATCAGTGTGGATGAATTCTCAGAAACACATCACGCAACAATGATAAGTCAGTCACAAAAGAATACGTAGAATGCTTCCATTAAATGAAGCTTACATAAGAGGTAAGACTAATTTAATAGTTGGGGATGCATACCTTTGTGATAACAATATAAAGAAAAGCAAATAAAGAAGAAGACAAAATGCAGCATAGTGATCAAATTGCAAGACAAGGAAGCGGAATGCAATCAAACCGCAAGAGAAGGAAGGGGAATGCAATCAAACCGCAAGAGAAGGAAGGGGAATGCAATCAAACCGCAAGAGAAGGAAGCGGAATGCAATCAAACCGCAAGAGAAGGAAGGGGAATGCAATCAAACCGCAACAGAAGGAAGCGGAATGCAATCAAACCGCAGGAGAAGGAAGCGGAATGCAATCAAACCGCAAGAGAAGGAAGGGGAATGCAATCAAACCGCAACAGAAGGAAGGGGAATGCAATCAAACCGCTAGAGAAGGAAGGGGAATGCAATCAAACCGCAAGAGAAGGAAGGGGAATGCAATCAAACCGCAACAGAAGGAAGCGGAATGCAATCAAACCGCAGGAGAAGGAAGCGGAATGCAATCAAACCGCAAGAGAAGGAAGGGGAATGCAATCAAACCGCAACAGAAGGAAGGGGAATGCAATCAAACCGCTAGAGAAGGAAGGGGAATGCAATCAAACCGCAAGAGAAGGAAGGGGAATGCAATCAAACCGCAACAGAAGGAAGCGGAATGCAATCAAACCGCAGGAGAAGGAAGCGGAATGCAATCAAACCGCAAGAGAAGGAAGGGGAATGCAATCAAACCGCAACAGAAGGAAGGGGAATGCAATCAAACCGCTAGAGAAGGAAGGGGAATGCAATCAAACCGCAAGAGAAGGAAGGGGAATGCAATCAAACCGCAACAGAAGGAAGCGGAATGCAATCAAACCGCAGGAGAAGGAAGCGGAATGCAATCAAACCGCAAGAGAAGGAAGGGGAATGCAATCAAACCGCAACAGAAGGAAGGGGAATGCAATCAAACCGCTAGAGAAGGAAGGGGAATGCAATCAAACCGCTAGAGAAGGAAGCGGAATGCAATCAAACCGCTAGAGAAGGAAGCGGAATGCAATCAAACCGCAAGAGAAGGAAGCGGAATGCAATCAAACCGCTAGAGAAGGAAGCGGAATGCAATCAAACTGCAACAGAAGGAAGGGGAATGCAATCAAACCGCAAGAGAAGGAAGGGGAATGCAATCAAACCGCAAGAGAAGGAAGCGGAATGCAATCAAACCGCTAGAGAAGGAAGGGGAATGCAATCAAACTGCAACAGAAGGAAGGGGAATGCAATCAAACCGCAAGAGAAGGAAGGGGAATGCAATCAAACCGCAAGAGAAGGAAGCGGAATGCAATCAAACCGCTAGAGAAGGAAGCGGAATGCAATCAAACTGCAACAGAAGGAAGGGGAATGCAATCAAACCGCAAGAGAAGGAAGGGGAATGCAATCAAACCGCAAGAGAAGGAAGCGGAATGCAATCAAACCGCAAGAGAAGGAAGCGGAATGCAATCAAACCGCAAGAGAAGGAAGGGGAATGCAATCAAACTGCAACAGAAGGAAGCGGAATGCAATCAGGAAGGGAACCAGGGGCTGTAGAGGTATTGGTGACAATCTCTTAAGGTGGACTTTTTTTATTATCATTATTAAACTCTACATATAAATGATATACAGTCTTTTGTATGCATGATGCATTTCATAATAATTTGTGTACAGTCTCTACATGGCTCTCTATAGAAAAAGCATTACTGGGAGTCAGCAGCAGAAGACAATAAAGAAGCCGGGCTGCTGTTTCAAGTGTCCAGCAGTGGCTGATGTCGACCTAGAAAACTGGAGAAGAATGGAGAGTATAGCTAACGGTTCCACTTTTGAATGTTATTCAGGTTTCGTTTTGTCCCGTGTCTTCTCAGTTTCTTTGTAGAAATGAAAGAGAGAACACTTCACGAGTTGATGGCTAGATGCCATTTTGTACCAAATTTAATCTTCTCAGCAATACTGTGTTGCTGGAATGAGGGTATTGTCCGTTGTACTTGATGGATCAAGAAACTGGGTTAAGAAAGGTCCACACAGATGACCTCAAGGTACACAAGTGAAAAGGTGAAGGCTGCTCTGGATTTCCCCTTACACTCTACCAGCTTTCCTCAGTGTGTCTGTGCCTGGAATCAGCAGCAGCAGCCGCCAGCATCGCCCCACACTGAGGCTCGGAAGCACTCAGCCAGCCTCAGTCTCTCTGGGAGCCTCCTCTGGGCCTTCAGGGAGGTGTGATATACTGGGTACAGTGGAGGTTAAGTATCCATTTCCTCTAACTTTCTGCTTATGAGTAGTGACTGTCCCTGAACAACCTTTTGACTTAAGCCCTCTGCTCTCCTAAAGGCTTAGTTAGGCATTGTGGCTACAGACCATCTATATATTTAAAGGTACATTTGCAGAGAGGAGACCCTTTGCTGATGTTAAGAACAGCTTGTTAAAATGGTGGATGGGCGAGGGGGGGCAAGGCAGAGTCCTGTGAATGATAGCTTCATCAACTTGACATTCCCTCAGGACCCACCACCTCCATGGGGGTTCTTTCCTGGCCATTTCCCCACCAGATGTAAAAATTATTAAGTGTATTTGGCTAGAGTTTCTTGGGAACTCTTCTTTCTCATTTTCTTTCCTTTACCCTATTTTCTTCTCTGCTCCTAGTTTTTAATTCTCATGTTATTTCTGCTCCCACATAAGCTCTAGCTAAAGGGTGCTTTGAGCCCAGGTTTGCTTAAAGTGGAAAAGTTGACCTAATAATAGGGATACTTCTTTCCCCAACAATTTAGCAGTCCAGCAACTCAGGGCTTAGAAAAGACCTAGAGCTGGCTTAGAAAATTCTCCATAATTTCAAAAAATTTTTAAAAGCTGGACAGGGCATGGTTTGAGAAAACGAAGTGGAGAAGTTTTGTGTTTCTTTTTTTAATTGTATTGCATTCACTGAAGTTTAAGGACTTCAGGAGAAAATAATGAGTTGAATTGAGGCCATTGAAAGGTTTGGCGCCCTCAACTACTGGCTCCACAGACGGGGAAGTACTCATATATACTGTATATGTACATTACATATATATTCCTAGTGTATATACTGAGATGGAGGAGACCCTAATCGCCCCTCAGTTGCCTTTTAGCGGCTCTACTTCTGCTATCTAAAAGTTTTTCTATGACTTTTTTTTTTAGGATCTCACTTTTAAAATGCCTTTGATTCTGAGAGTCACATTAACCACAAGACATACTCCTTTAACATTTTACATTTGCAAGCATATTTACACACATTGCCTCATTTACACAATACAGTCACTTTGTTTTCTCTCATGGGCACTAGGAGACAGGAGTCTTAGAAAACTATTCTTTTGACACACGCACGCGAATGTTCAGTGCAGCACTGTTCACAGCAGCAAAGACACGGAAGCAACCTAAATGCCCAACCATGACAGACTGGAGAAAGAAGATGCAGTACGTATACACCACGGAATACGGTGAGCCTAACAACGAACAAGACTGGGTCTTTGTGGGACTATGGATGGAGGTGGAGGCCATTATCCTCAGCAAACTAATGCAGGAATGGAAATCCAAATACTGCCTGTTCTTGTAAGTGGGAGCTAAATAATGAGAACTCATCAACACAAAGAAACAACAGACACTGGAGTCTATTTGAGGCTGGAGGGTGGGAGGTGGCAGAGGAGCAGAAAGGATAACTCTTGGGTACTGGGTTTAATACCTGGGTGACGAAATAATCTGTAAAACAAACCCCCGTGACATGAGTTCATCTATGTAGCAAACTTTCACATGTACCCCCCAAACCTAAAATAAAAAAAATTTTTTTAATTATGCTTTTCCAATTCTTAGGTATGGGAGCTAGAATTTGAAGCTGATATTTGACTTAATGTGCTCATTCTTTCTAAATCCTCATGCTAACTTTAATTATTCATATCTTAGTATGATTTTGTTTTTCACAACGTGTAAGCTGGAAAATCAGCTTCACTTGAAGCTGGGCCTTCCGCTGCTCAGCAGCCATTGCTCACCAACCATTCAAGGCAGTTTTTTCTTTTCAAACTGGTTTACAGATCACCTGGAACAGATTTATTCTGGGGAGGAAGCGTTACTGATAAAATTTTACATTCTTAAGCTGTATCCCTGGTCTACTCAGCTTCTAGGGGACGAGACTCAGGAAAGTGTGCTTTTAAAGCAGGAACCCAGATTAGTCTCATCTGCCCTAGATTTTGAGAAGCAGTGGTTTAGCAACCACATCACCCTCTTCATGGCCCCTGTCACATCTCCTCTGAATTTCTGGGATTTTGATGCTTGAGTGGAAGGGGTCATTGTCAAAATACATCCCAGAAGATTTCTTTTTGGAATTTGATCCATTGGCCAAAAATTCTTTCCCCATCCCACCCAACAATGCAGGATGTTTTTTCCGGGCTGGCCTGGAGGAAAATCCAATCATTGTTCTCATTCTGACTAATTGGAGACAGTCTGGCCACAAACATCTCCCTTTGTGCCTTTCTCTTCTACAGGACTTGAGCAGGGCTGCAGAGCGGCTGGTGTGGAGGGTGGCTGGGGTGGGGCCCAGAGAACAATAATGGAAACGGCAACGCCTTCCGTCATTAAGTCCTGAGTGGAATGCTGAGTTGAATCATGGAAAAGGTCTCTGCTGTCTTTGGGAACATTTTTGTTACTGTCCCAAGTAAAAGTCTTGAGTGTCAAATGAGATTCTTTTATGTCTGTACTTTTCCACAGTTTTTTAGAATTTCCTACGGTCTGTGCAGTTTCCTTAAAACCATTCGGTTGGCTGTCCTCAATTCGTTTCAGCTGGTCCAAGGATTCTTTAGATAAATTCAATAAAATGCAATTAGGAGAGGCATTTGTTTCCTTTTGCTTTCTTGGAAAAGCGAAGAGTGTAAATTGCTAATGCCCATAAACGGCCAGAAACCCCAAGTTTTCTACCGGCAGCAGTACCTTTCTGTGCTGCTACAATATTGCGTTCATATCTTTCTCCGAATACGAGTCCCATGTACAAACAGTTGTAGCGGTAAACATTTGCTGAGCATTTATTTATTCCAGTTATTGTGATAAGTACTCTGTGTATTTTGTCATTTAATTCACCCAATTACTCTTTAAATTAGGCACTATTACAATTCTCACTTTACGAATGAGCAACTGAAGTCCTAGAAAGTTG